TCTTAGGTATCAAGTGACTTAAATCAAGGTTTAACTTCAGCAGGAAAACCAGGATTTAAATTGCTGCTAATTACCTCCTCTGAAAGATAGGTGTAGGTCTATTTCCCATCCTGTTAGAAAGATCCTTTCTAAACCATGGTGGACAGACACTATATGATACTTTATAGGAGGGAGAAGGTAAGTAGTAAGGAAAACACCTAGGTCAACGTTCACTGTCTGAAAGTTCTTCATTGTATTTAATACTTCATGTGTCGTCTCAGTCTGTCTTCTCATCTTAAGAAGCCCTGCTACTTGGACATAGGAGCCTTCCATTGTGTCAGTCCATAATCCTTCTGAATCATGTCATCAATAGATGCATATTTCTAAGGCATCTATCCTATTGAATCTCTGAAGTTTTTCAATTTAGTGTAATCTGAGATCCTCCTACAATATTTCCTCCGTTAATGATATTCATTATGTCAGTGATATTCATTGCTCCACTGTGCATCTCTAAGTCACTTTTATCCTAATCCTAGGTCTCTAATCCACATAAGAATTATCCTCACTACTCTTCCACTTGACAGCTCTTCTGTTAGTTCAAGGTGGTCACGGTGGCCGTCATGTCCCCTTGAGTCCTCTCTTCCATGGGATCGTCGCTCTCTGTGGCAGTTCCTCTGGGACATGTGGAATCTGACCGTTCTCCTTCGCAGTCATTCTCCTGGGTGTACTTACTTTGCCCTCTGCTTTTTGGAAATGTGCAGTTCAGTTTCTCCTTTGAGGCCTAGAGGGCAGCGACATTGTCATCTTCTCCCACCTAAGGAGAGAAATCGTCTTTTTTTGCCCTCCTCCACTGGTTTTCACACTTGAATGTTCATCAGAATCCCCTGGAGGGCTTGTTAAAACTCAGATTACCAGGCCCATCCCAGAGTATCTGATTCAGTGGGTCTGAGGTGGGACCCAAGAATTTGCATTTTAAAAATCTCCTAGTTGATGCAGGTGATGCTGGTGGTGATGGCCCAGGCATCCCACTTTGAGAACCACTTATCTCAAGCAAAGGGCTAGACTGGGATTTGGAAGAACTGTGTCCATGCTGACCCATCACTAGGTAGTTTAATGAGGAAGAAACTNGGATTTGGAAGAACTGTGTCCATGCTGACCCATCACTAGGTAGTTTAATGAGGAAGAAACTAGGACTGAAGAGAGAAAGTGTCTTGCTCAAACTAGACAGGGAAGCCTTCATTCTGTTAGTCTGCATTCAGTCCGACGGTATGAATGCTTCCAGATCTGCTCCCCCATGATGTCTGTCTGCCTCTGTCTCTAAGTCCCTCTTGCACCGTGCATGTACATCCCACCTACACACACATGCGCATATATACACACAGCAGAAGGGTGGTGTCACAGGCAACCTCAATAATAAATTGAGAGTCTTGGAAGCAGAGTATGGCTAAGGGGTACCTTAGCCCACCCTTCCCCCATTTTAAACTCTATCCATCCTCTCTTCCCCAGCCCTTCCCAGCAAACAGTCTTAAATGAAAACATCTTGCTTGCCCTATAAGTGCAGTGTTTCCCCGAGCACACCCTCCCCTACCCCAAGTAGATTGCTATGTGGAAAGCTCCTCTAACATAGAAATGTTTCAGCAGTGACTGCTTGGAATTTCCTCAACTCTTTGGGCTGGCCCGGTGGCACACTGGAGAGTGCGCCGTTTGGGAGCACGGGGGCGCTCCCGCCGAGGGTTTGGATCCCATGTGGAGACCGGTTCCCGCTCACTGGCTGAG